TACTCCACCTATTCTTACTTAATGGATGGATACTTGAAGGTCACTCTCTCTCCTCAGGTGATGAAGTGTATGTGAGCAGTGAAGAAGAGAGAATAGAGTACGTCCTAAATCAAACTGGACTCTACTGGTTTGGAAATGTGAACAGTTATGGATCTAGAAGATGGGATTATGGACAGGTAATTTTAATTTCTAAATATTGAGCAGTTTTCAAAGGACGTGGCTTGGAATTGGTGTGAGTAGGTTGCTTTCATATACTGCATTGACCAGCATCATAACAATGGGAGATTGGGGAGAAACCTCCAACTGGGGTCACTGAATATTTACTCTAGCCAAACAAAAAATAGGCTAGAGCTTGACTCAAGTTTTTGAAGTTAGTGTTGAGTCAAAACTCTTAATTTTGGATAGAACCCTTGTTGGGGGGGAAACGAGGGAAAATCTGCAACCGGTACATGAATCTAACAGAAGAGCTAGTCTTCCTCCCTACTCTACTAATGCCTAAGTTGCTATTGGATAGTTCTGGGTGCCGGGCGGGTAGTTTTCAACATTTAGCCCTGTTTTGGGCAAGCAGAGCTAAATGTACAACGGGGAAGCAGCCGCTTGTTTTGTACAAGTGATCTTGGCGATGTTGCCGAGGTCACTTGTATGCAGCCTGCAGGTCTGCCTTTCTCCATTGGGGTGGGGGGTAGGGGGGGTGCATTGAGGAACCTGGCCTTGGGGCAGCAGAGTAAATCCGGCCCTGGTTGCCTGGCATCGTGACATCTTGTGTCCGGATTTCAGCTGGCCTGAAACCTGGACACGGCACATACAGGATTAAAAACCTGGACTGTCCAGGTGGCGTGACATGGCCACAAGCAGGCGATTTTTAGTGCGAGCTCTGCTGCCCGACCTGAAATCTGCATCTGGGAACCAACTATTTCAACTGCAGGACATGGGATGCAACACACCCCGTAGACTCCACCAGAAGAATCCACTGGCTGACTTGGCTCCTAGTCAGCGGATTCCTGACCTGTTTACTTGGCTGGCAGAACCTCTAGGAGGATCCAATAAGGCCGATGAGGACACACCCTGCTTCATCTTCACGTAAGTCTCTGGTGTCTGATCGTGCCTCCTCTATACAGGATCCTCCTGACTCGGATGTGGATCTTGAGGATTCTGAACTACCTTAGTACTAAATTATATAGGGCCTCTTTGTGGACTACCTCCTACAATATATATCCAACCCATCCTCGGCCTTCCCTGCTCTATCCCAGATATTAAAGATAATTGGCCCCTAAGCAATTTTAAAGTTAATACGCATAAGACTGAGGTTTTGAATGTTACCTTAGACTCTTCAGAGGTTACCAACTTAGGCTTCTTATCACTTTTATTTGGTGTAATATCTGGGTATCTTGCTTCCATCTCATTTTAGATCGCCTTTACAACCTTAATTATAAACCTGATGCTTATTTCTCAAAAATGCAAAGTTTGGAACACAAAATCCCATTCATGGTTTGGTCACATGGCCCTATTTAACATGGACATCCTGCCTAGATTACCTATCTATTTCAGCCTGTTCCATTGACACTGCCCCAATCCTTTTTTTTCCACACACTTAAATCTGGCCTTAAATATATTTGGAAAGGAAGTAGACCCTGACTTTGGTTTCAAGTCTCTACCTAAGTTTCAAGACTCTACCTAAACATTTAGAGGGATAATCTCCCTAAATATTATGCAATATTGCCTAGCTGCACATCTGACTAGACTGTTAGGTGCCTCTCGTAAAGACTGGGTGCAGCTAGAGAGCGTGCTTCTTCCTATTCAGGTATTCTCCCTTTGTTGTATTGCCTGCAACATCTTCTCCCATTTAGGGTCTCATCCCTATTGCATACCTGGGACAGGTTAGTAAGTTTTTGGCACATTTCCACCTATGATGGTCCAATGACCCCCCAGTTTTCCGCCAGGCTGTCGTAAATCTCTTCCCCAAAGGCCATTCTGCACAACTCTCCTACATCTGTTTTGCCCTCTCCGCTGATGGCCCAAAAACGATGGCCTCACTTCGGGAAGAATTTACTTACGCCCCAGGTCATTGGCTCCTATAATTCCAACTCCGTTACCTATTTGTCACTATGAAAGACGTCCACCACAGACGTCCTACTGCATTTGAAACCTTCCAACAACCCCTATTCACCTGATCTTTACACTATACAAACTACTAGTCTCTCTAAGATTCTAGGAGCCCACCATGCATGCATGGGGGGAAAAACTCAATTGAAACAGAGTGACAAATGCAAAGCTTATTCATTGACACACAAACTTTCTGCTGCTAGCGCAGCCCAAGAGCGTAACTTAAAAATGTTAACCAGATGGTACCAATGTCCATCAAATCTTCACAGATTTTTCCCTCTGATACCAGACAAACACTGGCGCTGTCTCTCTGAAGTAGGTACCATTCTTCATGTTTGGCGGGACTGCCCTAAACTACGTCCCTCTTGGCATTCAGTCTTTATGTGCCTAAGTCACATACTCTTCTCCTCGTACCACCCCCCAAAAAATCTTTTTTTTTTCTCTCACTGCTGCCATAGCTGTCATTCCTAGATAATGGAAATCTGACTCCATTCCATCTACACTGGAATGGATCTCAGAACTTAATAAACTGATGCATGTGGAAGAATTAATGGCTCAACACTACAACCGGTATCCTCAGCTCTTTGCCATATGGCCTCCCTGGATGCTATGTGAGGAAGATGTATAATACCTCATAACATTTTATCATGTATCCATAACCATCTATATCCCCCTCCGTTGGTGGGGCTGACACCTGTCCCTGAGTGTCCCTAATTGCCATCTCCAGATCTTTCTGATCTACCTTCTCATTCTCTGCTTTACCTTTTCTTACTCATTTCTTGCTCGATTACTTTCTTATATTATGTATTCTTTATTAAATACTAATATTCCTTAACAGGGGTACAGGTACTCCTAGAATGAGATCCTAATAGGTTGGACTTGATGGACTAATGTCTTTATTCAACCTCAAATACTATGTAACTATGTAACTTAACAGCCTCATTTTCTCATGGATGACGGTCTCTCATACTATAACGGAGTGTTGCGTAATGTTATTTCTTTGGCTACTTACCATGCTCTTTAATGGTAATCAACATGCTCGTATTGTGCTCATCTATTTCTCAAGGTTATCAAAATCACATTGATGTGTAATGTCAGTCTTATTTTCTTCTATGAATTGTTATACAGCTACAGTGCTTGTTACAATATATGCCTTCATTTCATCACTGTTTCAATCGTGATCTTATCTGAGATTTACATTTTGTTTAATCCCGCAGCTTGAAAAGGACATCTTGAACATTACCCTGGCTGTGCTTGACAGGAGTCCAGAGTACAAGAAGGACCCAGCCACGCATGTGTCTCGCAGAAATGATCCCATTTACGTGGGAAGAATACTAAGTGCTATGGTAGGTGGAATATTTTTAACTTGACACAAAAAAGATTTAAACATTAACCAACTTGACAAAGCAATGCAAATGTATTCTCTAGGTAAACAGCAATGATGACAATGGAGTCATTGTTGGGAACTGGAGTGCAAACTACAGTGGTGGAGAGAGACCTACAACCTGGAACGGAAGTGCCCCCATTCTCCGCCAGTGGATGCAAAAAGGACCGGTCAAATTTGGGCAGTGTTGGGTGTATGCAGGAGTACTTTGTACAGGTAAAAGCCCAATTTCCTGGCTGGGTGGCTCCTTCTAATGACACCTACATTACTAAAAGAATAAGCAGTGAACTGGGGTTCAGAAAAAGCAACCACAGCATGTGGCAGGGGGCACAGGCATCCAGAAATGTTGCATGCCAAGGAGCCTGACTTGGGTTGCAGAGCTGGAACATAGAGGAGGTTGGAGAAATGAGCCACCAGAAAGGTGATTATAAGATGTCTTTTCTTACAGGGAGATGGCATTGGAAATTATTAAATCTGACTGGGTCGCTTTAAACCAGATATTGTGCAAAATAAAATTAAACATTTCTAGTTTGGCTGACCATGGAGAATGAACACAAATACATAAAGCTATTTAAAATGCATATGTTTGTGTTATATGAATATACTTCTATATAGCAAGTTTGTAGTCTTTGAAAAAAGTTCTATAATGGCCATCTAGTTGTAAATCAAAATTATTCAACCCCCATTGCAAATCAGGTTAATTGGCAAAATTTACAGACTGTTTGCAATGTACAAATCAAACACAAACAAATGAAATGGGTCAACACAATGTTTCCCCAAAGTGGTTTCTGAAAATTCAACTTTTAATAACTTGTTCATTGCAAACAGCTGAAAGTCTGCAAATTTTGCCAATAAACCTGATTTGCAAGGGGGGATTGAATAATTTGAATTACAACTGTATCTATGCCATGAATAGAAGATTAATCTTTTTGCAATTTATTTTATTTGCCCAGTTCTCAGATGTTTGGGAATACCAGCCAGGGTGATTATAAACTTCCAGTCTGCTCATGACACACATGTAAATCTCTTGATTGATGAGATCTATGACGAAGATGGGAGAAAGAATGAAGACGAGACCCGGGACAGCATTTGGTAAGTATGGCAGGTGCAACTAATTAAAAAAAAAAAAAATTTTAATGGACTATTGGGAGACGAGGTAGAACTTTACAGATGTCTCCATTGGCAGATGTTCCTTCACTGTGGTTGTTTGATGCAATTGAGTTTAACATGGACCAAAACCTGAAAGGAATGTTTGTGGAATGCAGAATCCTTGCCATGAAAAAATTATGATTGTTTTGAGAGTAAAGGAAGGGCTGTGTCCGCCAGCAGACTGCCTAAGCTCCCCAGCAAGAGTGGGACCTCAGGCAGCCAAATCTATTTAAAAATTGAAAGCGCCAGTATCGGAGCTATGAATCGGGGCATTTTCACAAGTACTAGTATCAGTGCATCCCTAGTTTATGTTTTTAACTACAAATTCCGTGTGTGTGTGTGTGTGTGTGTGTGTGTGTGTGTGTGTGTGTGTGTGTGTGTGTGTGTTCCTGATTATGCGAGTTTCCTTCAAATAGCACACTTGATTACAGAGGTCTACACCTCTGTAATCAAGTGTGCTATTTGAAGGAAACTAGGGATTTGGTTACTGTTCTGTTTCAAACGCCACTTTATGCAATGACATGCCTCCTTAGATCCTGGTCTGTTCAGACAGTATGTCCACTTGCTGATCCAGCAGAATTCAGACTGCTTAACTCTTTAATACATCAAGTTAAATCTAACTTTTTTTTTTTTTTCCTGTAATTAATTTTTTTAGCCTTTTTAAGTATAAGACAATGAGGAAAGTTCATAGGAACTGGAGCAGTTTCCCATGGCAACAATCAGCTTTTTTTATTTCCTTTTCAAAGCTTAACTGAAGAGGGAACGCGGATTGGTTGCACGAAGAAAACTGTCTGCTTTCATGAATTTCCCCAGTCCTTTTTCTCAGGTCCTGACTGTGCAGTGGAATGTGAAACTAAACTGGGCAAGCATAAGGGCTCATGCCCACTGCTGCCCATGGCAGTACAGCATAAATTCAGGTGTATTTTCCCCATTTTTGAGCCACAGGTGCTTCTTACAGCCTCTCATAGAAGGCAATGGCTGTATGCAAGGTAAATGCTGTCCTTGCATAAACACCTGCATACTTTGGGGCACTCAACCCCGGATACTGACATTCTGCCCTCATGTGATATTGACAAAGTTAACTTTAAAAAAAAAAAAAGAAAATCTAATAAAATGCCTAACAAATGTTTTTTAGGTACACCATTGTTTGCCCCAAATTAATTTAAATGTATTTACAGAAAATATGGATTTGATAAACAATAGCATCATTATTGTGCATCATAAAAAAAATGCAACTACCACTATGTTATTCTACAGGGCCCCTGCTTTCTGTAAAAATGTAGAAGGGATATTATCAAAACTTGGGTAGACAAAATCTGGAGCAGCTGTGCATGGCAACCAATCGGCTTCTCTCATTTTCAAATCTTAACTGAACAAAGAAGCTGATTTTGTTCTGGTTGCCTCCAGATTTTGTCTGCTACAGTTTTGATAAATTCCCCCATAGTGTGTGTGTTTTAGGTGTGTTTTCAAGTAAAAGAAATGTGCATGTGTGCCCAAAATTAAAATGGTTAAATAATATTGAAAAGGTTAATATCTATCTACACTTTACTCCAACTGTCCCTATTTTTAGGTTGGGTTATAGACCAATGTACCATAATGGTCAAATTGCAGGAAGCTAAATAGACATGTGGGAGATGTTTTATATGCCAATTGAGCCCTCTGCTAATGGCCAGAGTAGGTGTGCAGGAACTCAATTGCAGATTTGACAGTGAAGTCCCTGAACTATATAAGACATTGTCAGTTTAACTCTTAAACAACTACCAAAAATCGAATATGTTTTTGGATGTACTGAACAAGACTGTTATTTGAGGGTCCATTCAAAATACTGTGTTGCAGTAACTCAGTCATGGCCATTTTCCTTTAGTAACAAAGTATTGTGTTTCTTATCACAGGAACTTCCATGCATGGAATGAAGCTTATTTTACTAGAAAGGATCTTGGGTCACTTTATAACGGATGGCAAATACTGGATGCAACTCCACAGGAACGTAGTGACGGTATGTATGTGACTTGGGCTACAAATTATACCCTGTATAAATACACCTAAAGACTGCTTCCATTCATTACATTTATTGGCTAAATTGATTTGGTGAAATATAGCAACTACTTATGTAATAATAATTGAATCAGCAGATCTACACCCTGGCTTATTAGAATTAAAGGCGTCAAAGCTTAAAACAGACCTTGCACTAAAATGCAAAGTCTGCTTTTTACATCAGGGCCACCCCTCTATTTAAAATCATGGAATTATCACTAAAAACATATTGGCATTAAAAAATATACTTACCCTATATCTTTGAATTCTGCACTGGGAAGGTTGATGTCACAGTCCTTTGAGTAAGATCCTGGGAATTCTGAGTATCTCAAATTTTGGAAGAAGATGCTCCTGTGCTGTGTAGGGGATTGTGGATTTTCAGCTATCCCAGGATCCAACTCTAAGGACTGTTGCATCATGCGGAAGTATTTTTTTCTAACTTATCGCCACAGTTTTTGTTTTATTGTATTACATGCATAATGCAAAATAAATGGGGTAGACTTGTAATAAGCAGACCTTGGATTTAAGTGTACGGTTCACTTAATATTTCAGATTCTCTACACCTGGTCCTATTATAGATGCGCTTTATTTGTTATAAACCTCCAAATATAGGGGAGAAGGGGGAGGTTAATCTACAGTCCGAAATAGAAATAGCTGGGAGGGAGGGCAATGTAGTTGTGATGGGCGACTACAATTACCCGGGCATAAATTGGGCTAATGGAACCTCAAGTTCAACAAAGGCGGGCAACTTTCTGAACATGTTGTGAGACTATTTCATGGACCAGATGGTGGAGGTCCCAACTAGGAAAAATGGACAAGAACCCTTAGTTTCAAAAGGGCTAACTTTGATAAACTGTGCCACCTAGTGGGGGACATCACATGGGAAAATGTATTTCACAAACTGAACTCGGACCAAAAGTGGGAATGTTTTTTAAAAGCACGTTACATATTGCCATTGCCAAATGTATACTGTTGGGTAATAAAAGTAAAATATCACAAACAAAACCTGTATGGCTGAATAAAAATGTAAAGCATCACATAAAGGAAAAGCGAGTGGCATTTATAAAATATAAGATGGAGGCGACGGCATTGGCATTCAGTAACTACAAAGAATGTAATAAAAGATGCAAACTCGCAATACAGGCAGCTAAAATAGAGTGCAAAAAGCATATTGCCACAGATAGTAATAAAAAAAATCCCAAACATTTTTCCCAATATATAAACAGTTAAAAGGGAGAAAGGAGCAGATAGGCCCAATAAAGGACGAAACCGGGAAGTTGGTCATAAATGACAAGGAGAGGGCTGAAGTGCTGAACACATTTTTCTCAGTATACACTCAGGAGGGAAAAGGGTTTGACACCCATAATAAAACAGAGTTCATCACAAAATATAGCCAAGTGGTTGACAGAACCCGGGATACAACAAAGACTTAGTCTACTTAATGCAAATAAAGCGTTGGGACCGGATAATCTGCACCCCAAGATACTTAAGGAACTAAGCGAGGCTATAACTAGACCATTATTCCTCATTTTTAAGGACTCTCTAATGACTGGTAGAGTTCCGAGTGACTGGCGGAGGGCTACGGTAGTTCCAATATTTAAAAAGGGGGCAAGATGCCAACCTGGGAATTACAGACCAGTTAGTCTTACATCGGTAGTTTGTAGACTGTTAGAAGGAATGATTAAGGACCACTTAGTAGAATTTGTTGGATAATGACAAAATAAATGACAACCAGCATGGGTTTAGGAAAGACTGTTCCTGTCAGACTAACCTACTGACCTTTTACTAGGGGGTAAGTAGAGATCTGGATGGAGAGAGGTCTTTGGATGTGGTATATCTGGATTTCTCAAAGGCTTTTGATACGGTACCACACAAACGCCTAATATACAAGCTGAGAGCTTTGGGCATAGATGGAAGGGTGTGTACATGGATGGAGAACTGGCTAAAGGAAAGGGTACAGAGAGTATCAATAAATGGTGCCCTTTCAGACTGGGCTAGTGACATTAGCGGTGTGCCTCAGGGTTCTGTGCTGGGACCCATGCTTTTCAACCTGTTAACGACATCGGGGACGAGTAAACAGCGATATCTCAGTGTTTGCTGACGATACCAAAATTGGGAGGGTAATAGAAACAGACCAAGATAGTGTAACATTGCAGGAGGACCTGGATAATATAGGGGAGTGGGCAACTATGTGGCAGATGAGGTTTAATGTCGATAAATGCAAAGTTATGCACTTTGGGAGTAAAAATAGGCAAATGGGTTATACAATTATTGGTATGCCGCTAGGGAAGTCGGAAATGGAGAAAGATTTGGGGGTCATTGTAGACCATAAACTGAATAATAGATTACAGTGCCAGGTTGCTGTAAGCAAAGCTAGTAGAATCCTGTCCTGCATCAAGAAGGGAATGTTTGCAGGGACAGGTCTATAATTTTGCCACTTTACACATCAATGGTTCGGCCTCACCTGGAGTATGCGGTGCAGTTTTGGGCACCGGTATACAGAAAGGATGTCCTTGAGCTGGAGAAAGTCCAGCGGAGGGCGACCAAACTCGCCAAAGGGATGGAGGACCAGAACTATGAGACAAGGCTACTGAATTTAAACATGTTTACGTTGGAAGTAAGGAAATTAAGGGGGGACATGATTTTCATGTACAAATTGTTCAATAGTCATAGCAACATTAGCAACAAACTTTTTAAGATTAATTCCGTAACAAAGACTAGAGGCCACCACCTAAAACTGGTAGAAAAAAATTAAAACACAAGGGGTGAAGGGGGTTCTTCTCAGTTCGCGCGGTTAGGGTCTGGAACTCGCTGCCTCAAGCAGTGATTTCCGCGAATAGTCTGGAATCATTCAAGAAGCTTTTGGACGACTTCCTGAGAGACCGTAATGTACAAGGGTACAGGTACTCTTAAGAATGAGAACACTCTGGGACCTATACACACATACATGCATGCATACATACATCTACACATACACACATACATACATACACACACACACATACACTTACATACACACACACACACATACACACACACACACACACACACACTAGGTTGGACTTGATGGACTTATGTCTTTATTCAACCTCAAATACTATGTAACTATGTAAAAACTGAACCCACCCCAAAGATGGATGCAGCCAAGCTTTTGTTCCTACAGCAAGGAATGAAGCCAAGATGGTGAATGTATGACCCTCAGAAATGTCAACCCTCTTTCTCTTGAATGGTTTTTGGGCCTGTGTTGATGGGCTTTGTGTTTGGGTCAATGGTGTTATTTTGGACATCATTTTGAGATGCTTCTGAGATTATTCAGAATTCATTGATGGGTACATTTGACATACGTCTGACATGCTTCAAGGTGGGTTTACATTCCCATAACCTTGTATGGAATGCAAAACCAGCATAAAGCAAAATAAATAAAAAAAATGCTCGTTGACACAGGCCCTATCTGGCCACATTTAGACAAACATCCAGAATTGGGCAAAAGAGGGACACAAAATAGGGAAACTATTAAGTTGCTCATTTTGAGGCTCGGTGCTAACACGTCTCCACCTGCATCCCTAGGCACTAACCACATTATGGTAAATACAGCCCTGTCTCTAGTGTGGTCTGTAGGGTTGGGACAAGTTCTGACCAATGAGATGGAAGCAATGAAGTAGTGCATTCCATAATGTTGAACACTTTACAGATCTAATCGTGTTTTGCTAACAAACAATACATGGCTGTGTTTTCATGCAGGTAGATACCAATTGGGACCGACCTCGCAGAAGGCTGTGAAGGAAGGGGATGTAGACAAACCGTACGATACCGTATTTGTGTTTGGTGAGGTGAATTGTGACCAAGCACACTGGATTAAGCATAAGGATGGAAGCAAAACATTGGCTTACTCTGAGCCTACAGGCGTGGGGCAGCTCACCAGTACCAAAGCAGTTGGTGCTTTTCATCGCAGGGATATAACCAATGACTACAAATACCCAGAAGGTATCTTTTTTTATTTTGATGCTGCTCATTTAATTATGGTGTAATTTGTGTAAATTGTGGTTGAAACTGGATAATTATAGAACAGCAGAGGAAGAAACGAGCGGCACAAGGAGAGCAAGGATTAATATGATGGGTCGGGGGAGAAACTACTCCAATAACAAGCTAACATTTTAAAAGCTGCTACAGGTCATCAGTTTAGTTGCACATAAATATTGGCCTTAGAATTATTGCTCTCTGGCATGTGCAGTGATACCCAAAATGTGTAGAGCAATTGTCGTTTTTATACGTAGGCACACTCAACGCGTGTTTGTGACGACGTGCGTTCTCGCAGAGCCGGGGAACATTTTTTTTGCATTACTACTTTTGGGTTACAGGACTACATTTACAAAAGACTATCTGCTGGCAGCATAGATCTGTGCTGCAGCGTAATAGATCATTCGCTACAGTATTGTCCAACCCAGCTCAGTAAGTGACAGTTGGGTTTGCCTCTCGAGAGCCAGAGCCAGCTGTACCCGCCCTCTCCCGTGTCTGCCCCACCAATAAGTGCTGGAAGAACAGAGGAGATCTGAGGCAACACAGATGCTAATAAAATTGGGGATTTGAAATCTTCATAAGCTGTAGTGGTAATTCGGGCCTACCATCTCAGACATCTCCTCCCTGCTGCGTCTGACAGGAAGTGTAGGAAAATCTACCCAATGGGACACACGGCAAAGAAACCACATCACAGGGGGTCTTAACAATTCCCTACTATATCCAAAACAAAAATGTATTTACTGTTCGATCATTATTTTCTTCCAGGTTCTGCTAAGGAAAGAGAGATCTTTGCGAAGGCAAAGGAAAAAGTGGAGCCACCAATTACAGTTCTAATGGCAAATGAAGCTGCTACAAGCGATTCTTCTGTTCCCCCAAAACCTGAATTTTATGCCAGTTTTAAAAAAGCGGCCGAAACACAAGTTGGTGATGATCTGAAACTCAGCTTGACGTTCAAAAACACGGTGGCTAAATCTCAGAAGATAAAGGTCAACATGACAGCCACGGCCATAATATACAACCGTAAACCAGTCAAAGATATTCTTACTGAATCCCATTATGTTACACTGGGACCTAACGAAGGTAAGTGCACAGAAGCCCATTGTCGTATGTATGTTACATTTCATATGATACCATTTTATAGAGCAGCATACATCAGACAACTGAGGACTAGGGAAGAACCCAAGGGACTTGGTTGCTTAAGATGAACAGTCTCTTCAAATGAGACAATAAGGAGCCAAAAATGTTTTCTAATTTTGAACAGTGGGGAAGGGTTAGAATTCCTACTATCCAGGGCTCCATTAGAAAGAGTTACCCTCACTTTCTGCCCCGCAGATGCTTTCACCAGACAGGAAATGAGGAAAAATCTGCAACAGGGACATACACTAGACAGAAATAGAATTTGACTCGGGTTCCAGCTTTCACCTAAAGTACTAAAGAAAATACATTTAGAAGTGAGGGTAAATCTGTCCAACAGAGCCCCAGGTAGTAGTAACAAGCTGGCATGGGTCCTATCCTATGCCCTCATTTACAGATTATGTAAGAGTTACAGAGTTATGTAGCTTGAAGCCAAAAGCTACAAAACGACCAACAACCAAAATCCCATGCATTTAAAGTTTGCCTGTTCACAACTGAGCGCTCAGATGCTTGTAGCTCAATGCCGTAAGCTGAAAAATACATGAGCTACCGTTGAAGCAGAATGGGACATTTTTGACCACATAGACGTCATTGGAAATCCCTGGAAATCCCTGAAACACTTAAATAGCTGAAAATTAGTTTTTTTTTTTTTTTTTTTTCCCCAAGGTTAAACAATCTTCTTAGTACTAATTATCCTAGTACTAAGCCTTTCATTGGCTGAAAACAAACGCTTAAGCCTGAATACACCTGTGGGAAAACTTCAAAAAACACACAAATGAAAATGCTTCAGAATCTCCTGTAAACTCACTTGGGTCTGAAAGCAGCCTTAACAGCTCAATCCAAAACTGAAAAATGTTTTGACTGGACATGTGCTAACTTTGGAGAAGAAGCTAAAGATTTGAAGTTTAGGTTCTCTGACTTGTATCTTAGACCAGTGCCCAAGTGTGTCACGCTTCACGGCTGTTGTGACTGGTGCAAAAGAAAACCATACCATAAAACCTACCATAAAATGCGATGTAGGAACTATCATTCATGGACAACCCAGTAAGTGGTAAAGTACAGTGGCAATCAGATGGCATTTAAACTCGTAACCTGATTGCCTTCTTCAGTTCCAGTTGTACTCCTTTTCTTTGCTACTGTTTGGGTTACTGGCCCCACCCCCATTACTGGAAATCTATACTCCATGCACTTTATTTATTTTAAACCAGGGAAGGGTAACATATATTTTCTTAAATTTATATAGTTCAAGTCAATTTTGTCTTAAAGCAGAACTCCGCATCTGATAAATTCAATTTGCCAAACTTTGCACACTCCTGCCCTAGACTAAACAAGCAATTGTGCGGGAAGGGGTCTGTCTCGTTGAGTTTTTACAGTGTGTCTCATTGACTTAGTGGGCCCAGAAGGATGGTCTTCCCTGGGCAAATTAGACCACACTTTATAAGGTGTTTTGCCTTACTCTGCAACTGTGGGTTTAGGGTTCTTTGGATGCAGGTTTTATTCTCTCGCTTTAACACAATGGACATTGGCTTTTCTACATTTTCATTACCTTTTTTTTCTTTCTTTTGTACTTGTTTTCTAGAGAAAAGCATTGAGCTGACAATACTATACATACAGTATAGACAGGCCATAACGCCTGACAACATGATTCAAACTACAGCTGTGTGTGAGGATGAGACTGGAGGCAAACTGCTGGTACAAACTGTGAATACATTGAAGAACCCTACACTACTGTTGAGGGTAGGACTTCTCAGCTATTTTTTCTTGCTACACTCCAGTGGCCGGAGGTACAAAAATGGGGTCTATTTAAAAAAACTGAAATATGGCCATACTGGTACTTAAACAACAAAAAAACTGGGTGCTATACAAATGTGCATTGCGCTTCTCTGATTTCTGATAAGAATGATTGCAAGTAAAGAGTCACCAGGAGAGCCTTGCCATGTGACCTGTCAGGCTCATGAATGGCTCTCTACCTAAAATAGAGTTTTCTGTTGTCTAGGATTCCATGGGCTGCATACAGTAGACCACATTTTATCAATGAAATACCATAGTATGTAGAATGTAAAGTAGAACAGAGGTTCTATTAACACTTTTATAAAGACGTTCCTCATTCCTCCATATTGAGAGAAAAGGAAGTGAGCGAGGAAGGAAAGTAGGCACTATAGCAATGTTTTCCCAACCAATGGAATATGTAATTTAGCATGTTAATGTCATCGCAAAATGTATTTTTCTATTTATTTTTTATTTTTTTAATCCAGCTTTCATAGAATAGAAACTGGTGATCCTGGCATGAAGTCCTTGTTCAGGCACTTCCTGTTATAGGGGGATAGTGCTTTGTTTCAGTTTCCTAACTGAGCTCCTGCATTGACACCCTGTTGGCAGGCTTACGATGAACTACAAGTGGCTGTGCCACACATTACGCAGACATGGCCTACAGTTGTCAACATCAGGAAATATCCCCCTCAGGAATGTTATCCCTGCGTTAGATCAGCAGCACAGAAGGATGAAATGAAAAATAGATATCAAAAATTATTTTAACAAACCAATTGTCTCCAATACATATTGCCGTAGCAATCTAAATGTAATTCACTCTGGGTTATCTCTACTTTAAAGGAGCATTATGGGGAGAGTGAAATAGGCTCATACTTGGAGCCAACCTGTGACACTGAAGTTATCGCACGTCAGCTCTATAGATCAAGAACTGAGAGATCACATACCACTGGCTCAGTGCTGATCTTCTCCCTGCAGAGAGCGGTGACTGTTTAATCATCACTCCCTGCAAGGATTCCCCCCGTCCCCGCTTTACTTCAGTGCTGACTGGAGGGATGGACAGAAGATTTTTCATAGTCCACAGAGATGGGAATCATAAGAGTGCAGCACAGGTAGAGGGCACACAATTACTAGCTCACAAAATTTCTGTCATGATAAACGGGTATTTTTTTGCACTTATTAAAATGATAGAACAAAATGCTTTACAATATATATTTAACAGACAACAAGGGAGAAAATAAGTTTGGGGGTTTACGTACATTTTAATTCATACATATTAGTTTGATTGGTAGTAATTACTATTTCCACGAACACCAATCATACTACCATAGTAATGATACCAATATTTTATTCATAGGCTAGTGAAGACGTCAAATTAAACACAACTTCACAAGTGGATGTTATATTTACTAATCCAAGTCAAGAGGAGATCTGTAACAGTGTCTTGATTGTAGAGGGGAGCGGCCTTTTGAGCGACCAACTGATTATTAAGTGAGTATAAATATTTTTTGGAAGAAATTATAAAAACATTTAATATGGATCATGAGTCATAAGCAGTCGTTTGTTTTGTTTGGTGGTTTTTTGTTTTTTTTTAATCATAATATCCTGGCCAATGCCAGGCATGGTAGGCTGTTTAACCTGCACAGATTTGGACAGGACAATTTCCACAAATCTCTAAAATTTAAGTGGTCTATCATATGCAAAACTTTTTTTGTATTTCCAATTTGATGATGGTGACACAGGGAGCTGCAAAAGCAGTCTACAAAAATCAGGTCTCTCCCTTCGCTATACAGTGGAGCAGAGGGATCTGAATCATAAGACTTGCACAGAATTCCAAATCCCTTCCCAAGAAAAATGGTTCAGAATTATAAATTTGAGCTCCAGGCAAAACCAAGCTTTGGAGAGAATGGAGAAGTTAGAGGCTTTGTGTGTTTTTTACTGCTATCTGCCTCCCAACTAGGGAAATTTCCCTTCAATATACAGTTTGCATGCATGTGCGCGCACACACACATTTTTGCTTTACTTTTGCTCACTTAAAAAATTAGTACTGTAGATAGGGAGATTAGTCAGAGCTATAGTCAAGTAAATCAACACATAGACGCTGCTAAATAAGACCTTGGCATTTAGGCTTCGATGGCCTTTGGGCATGAAAGGGCTAAATGGGTTTGTAATCATACCGAAGTATCTATCTATAATCTGTCAACTTACTAATTAAACTTTCTTTTTATTGTCTAGTGTACAAAGTCTAAAACCAAATGAAAGAGCTACAATGGAGTTTGCTATCACTCCATACAGACAGGGCGAGGGAAGTCTCCTAGTCGATTTCTCCTCCCAGAAATTTCCAAATGTTAAAGGCTTTCAATCGGTTCCAGTGGCTTAATCATAAAAAGCAATACCTCCCGAGAGAAGATAAAGCACAGTTAGAAGCCTCATATGTTGATGGCACACAGAAGCATCATCATGCACTGATTTGCAACGATTTTGTAATCTGTATTCAATAACAAATAAACTGAAAGGCTATTTAATTGATGTGCATTTATATGGAGGTTTAAAAAGAAAGTGTTGGCTTGCTGCTAGTTGCCATGATAACAGGCAAGTATTGGAATGTCCCAAGAAATGAAAAGATATTCCTAAGGGAAAGTCAGCCAGAGGAAGACATTAAAAAAATGTATGCAAAGTGTATGTAAAGCAGAACTGTTATTTTTTTTTTGTGTAAAACCCATATTAGTTTATTTGTAGTCTGAGACATTTCCCTTTAACTTCCTGTCCCAAAAAACTAAAGGGAAATGAGATATAATAAGTGAGAGATTCTTCTTTAGACAGTTGTCACCAGAAAAGATCCCCATTGGAAGATTTTCGCACACCTCCTGTAACTTTAATATAAGTGATAATACCATTGCCCACTTAAGTCTCTTCCCTCAGTACCACCATGTTACTCCTCTTGAATTAGAACAGCTGAAAGACCACATGGGCCTGTAAAAAAAAAGTGATGTATAGGATGTTTAAAGAAAGCAGTCTCATGGGTTCTGATGTAGAGTGCAATAAGGTCATGCAGAGATCAAGTGGTATGACTATTGCTCAAGAGATGTGCTTATGGTCACACACAACACAAACTTTCTTCACCCCAGTTTTTAAGTCATTGGCTTTTCACCCGGCTGTCATCGGGCGGCCGCTCGCTCCTCCGAGGCCACTGCGAGCGGCCCTCTACAGTGCCTGATTGGGGAGCCGCGTCTGCCTGATCCAGCCAGCCTGGATCGCATAGCGGTGTACTGTCATTTGGGGGGTGAGGAGACCACGGAGGGATGTACTTTCACTTTTGGGGGTGGGGCAGGGAGAGATGTACTGTCACTGGGGGGTGAGGTGGTCAGGGAGGGATGTAACCTAGCGAGAGAACAACTCTGTGCCTTATGCAACGCCAAAGCTAAATCCACACTACTCAAATGCCGCCGTACCTTTTACGAGTATGGCAACCAGTGTGGCAAGTACCTTGCTAGAGCCCTTCGCAAACAGCACACGCGGACGTTCATTCACTCAATCACATCTCCGTCGGGTGCCAAACTTTCGCTCACGTCTGACATCGCGGACGCTTTCGCCGACTATTACAAAGGCCTCTACAATATATCACACCCAATGTCCTCCCAGAACGCTTCGGCCTATTTAGCTTGCATGAAGAGCTATATTCACTACTCAGGTATCCCCTCTCCCACCACTCGCCAGCTCACTGATGGAATCCCCTATCTCCAATTCGGAACTGGAGACCACTCTCAAACTTACCCAAGCCGGCAAAGCACCTGGCCCAGATGGCTTTTCCGTAACCTATTACAAACGCTACCTCCCTATTTTGGCCACTCCATTCTTGAATGCACTTAATTCCCTGTACACGGCCCATGCCCCGCCACCTGATTCCCTCAGAGCACATATTACTGTCATACCCAAGGAGGGGAAGGATCCGTCCCTATGCCCCAGCTATAGGCCAATATCGCTTCTTAACATTGACACAAAACTTTTTGCCAAAATTCTATACCTTCGTCTTGTACCCCACCTGGGAGACCTCATTCATCCTGACCAAACTGGATTTATCCCATCCAGAGAGGCGAGACATAACACCACTCGAGCTCTGGGGAGGATTCACTCCGCCCGGTCCAGCGCCACCCCGTGTGTACTCCTGTCCACCGATGTGGAGAAGGCGTTTGACCGGGTGGACTGGTGGTTTCTACACAGTACATTGGAGGTGGTGGGGGTGGGACAACACATGCGAACCTGGATTGGAGTGCTCTATTCCAACCCCTCGGCCCTCGTCACCCTGAACTTTCCCCCGCTGCTGTCGCGTATAAAATCGGATTTGGAATCATGGACCAAACGCACCTTTTCTTGGATGGGCCGTTGCAACATCCTGAAGCAATCCATCCTCCCACGCTTACTGTACCCCCTCCAAGCCCTGCCAATTCACATTCCTCCATCCTTCTTTCGCAGCATACGAACGGCCTTTACAGAGTTCGTCTGGATTCAAAAACCGCCCAGATTAAGCTATGATATACTGCGGAGACCCAAGCATTCGGGTGGGATGTCTCTGCCAGACGTTCATCAATACTATATTGCCACACACCTGACTGGAACTGCAACTCGCCCTCCAAGCTTTGGGTTGCCTTAGAACAATTCCATGCAGAAGCCCCACTGGCCAACCTACCCTGGAGTTCTGCACCCCTTACGCTCCAAATCCGTGCATATCCCACCACTGGCCCTACCCTGAAACTGGCATGCTCGACCTTTACAAAGGGGTCCTTCTCCTCTGTTCCATCTCCTCTCTTCCCCATACTCGATAACCCCTCCTTCCCACCTGGTATTGGCACCCACACCTACCCGGCTTTCTCCGGAGAGAGTTAGGCCTGTACAAAGCCTTGCAGCTCCTGAAGACCTCGGAGTGGCCTTCCACTCACGCCCTTCGTACCCTACCAGAGTACGGCCCGCTGGACTTTTGGTCGGCCATGCGCCTGTCCCACTTCCTTTCCACCAACCCGCCGGTACCCAATATCAAAAGGCTGCTCACACCTTTCGAACAACTTTGCACCCAAACTGGCGCCACCCGCCATACCCTCTCCTTCTGCTACACACAACTAATTCAACCATCGGACCCACGCCCGCTTTGGTTTCTCTCGAAATGGGAGGAGGATCTACAGATCGTTGTATCCCCGGAAGCCGCGACTAAATTATTATCTCTATCTTACCGCTCCTCAATCAGCAATAGGTATCAGGAGTCGGGCTACAAAATAGTGACCAGGTGGTATTGCACACCGCAAACTCTCCACGCGTTATTCCCCGACTCTCCAGACCAGTGCTGGCGGTGCCGGCAATCTTCGGCGGGTATGCTCCACATGTTCTGGTCCTGCCCGGCCCTCCGTCAGTTTTGGGATGAAGTCCACATTCTTACTCAAAAATGTATGGACGGCCAGGTCCCTCAAAACCCTGCCTTCTTTCTCCTCCATCACAACAATATCCCTCTACGCACTTACACGAGATCACTCATCAGACACATAGTATTAGTCAACGCAGCTTGGGCCTGCATTCCGGCCTTTTGGAAAAAACCCGAGCCCCCACGCATCAGACAGGTCTTGGACCGCATACACAATATTTATCTCATGGAAGACCTTACAAGCTCAATTAACCAAAATAACACATCGTTCTCCAGCACATAGTTTCCCTGGATGGAGTTCATTCGGTCACCTGAATACCTCTCTCTCTGAAGGATCTCTCTCTACCCCTTGCTTCATATCATTATCAATTGCATATAAACTCACATACTGTGTTTGCAATCACTACGTTACCTCTGTTATCCCATACCTGCGTATGTGCATGTTTACTGCTTTTTTTTCTTGCAACAACTTTTCTAAGTATTTTGTAAACAATTGTACATTGTATAAATAAAGAATTTATTAAAAAAAGAAAAATATACACAGACTGCTTGCGAAAGCAGAGGGGGGGGGGGGCATTTCAAAAGGAGCCATGAAGAGATGAAGAAGACAAAAAAAGAGTAAGTTTGTCTTCATATACAGCAACTGCATATGCCTGCTCCATGTTCACTTGGTGTACATTGCTGGCATGGTTTTTTTTAAATACCTCCACAAAGGTGGGAAATGTGCTTCAAGCCATTAGTAAGTACATTGTCGGTTTGAGCCACGTCCCTGAGGTCTGCATGAATCTTGTAAAGAAACCTACTAAGATTCATAGAACTGTGGGTAGATTCACCTAGACACAGACATTACCATGATTCACCTATCAGACGAGGCGGGGAATGATTTCGCCAAGCGGGGGGGACTAGGTACCACTGGAATAGTACTTTATAGGCCAGGGGCAATCTTTTTTTTTTTTCTCTTTTGGGTCATGGGAGGACATATACTATGTCCTTCCGTGACCCAAAACTCAGCATATGGCGGGCTATTACCCGCTATATGCTGAGGGCACCGTAGCCTAGACGGATCCCGACAATACTGTCAAGATCCACCCAGCTGGCTGATTGACAGCTGGCTCTGCCTCTCTAAAGGTAGAGCCAGCTATGCCCGCCCCCTCCCCCACCCATTCCTTCAGTCAGCGCTGGAGGATCGGAGAGGGGAGGGGTAGAATCCCTGGGGGGAACAATGACTGAAAGGGAGATAATCAGGAAGTGAGCGGATCCGTGGTATGTTTTTGCTCACTTACCGATCAATAGAGCCAACGTGTGACAGTTTTAATGCCACATGTTGGCTTTAACTATGGGGATGAGTGTAATTCACTCACCCCATAGTTCTCCTTTTAAAGTAAAGTAGTGGCCGATCAGCCCTGCCTTGGAGGGGGGAAAGTTCTTTCTCCCACTGACCTGGACGTTGCTTATGATGGATACCAGCTTGTCGGGCTGGGGAGGAATTCTCAGGGTTGAAACAGTCCAAGGTACTTGGCCAGCGAGGGAATCTAAGCTCCCTAATAACATGCTGGAGCTAAGGTCGATTTGCCTGTGCCTTAAACATTGGACGAGCTGACTTCAAGGCTTTAACTGCTGTTTCAGGTCAAGGCTACAAACGTTGTCCCTCGTTTGATGCTTGAAACTTTAGAACATGCTACCACTGGCCTGTAAGAGGCACATCAGACCACAGTAAATAACTATTGGAAGATATTGCTTTTGTATTAAACATATTATAGCTGAGGTCTTCCCTCATAAGTATAGATACATGAAAAATGGTACCAAAGATTTACACGATAGGAGGTCGCCTACACTAGACACATATACATGTGTTGACAAAAGGTAGACAGTGAGAAAATTCATGTTTCAAGGCAAAGGCTGTAGCTGGATGCATTGTTGCACAAGCTCATTGGTATGTGGGAACAGAGTATAGATGAGTATAGGTGGCTGTTTTCTTGGTGCCCTGGTGACCGCCATATGACCTCCATGACCCACCTCTATGCCCCTGCTCAGGACAAAATGGGGAGCATTAACAAGGAGAAATACGTCAGCTTTGTGGTGCAAATATTGGCACATTTTCTGTGCACTAAATGAACAATGCTATAAGACAGGGTCTATGTGGTGTTGCACCAGCTGCTATTGTTATTTCATGTAACATATTACCAAATATTTTGATGCACCACTTTCATTATTTCGGCACAATACACGCCACATTAGTCTGCATATAGAAGTTGGCTCATTTCTCTAGATGCGCCAGTTTTTGTTAATTTTCCCCCAATATCTTCATCTGTGACAAGCACACAACCCAATATCGTGATCACTACAAGAAAAATTAGAATGCTAAGCTCCAAATGATGCTAACTTACATGTTAGCCAATTACAACTCCTACACCCATGTTGTCTTTAAATTAGGTCCTTATTGCCAAAGTAATTTCTCTCACGAGAACATGCCTGCAAACATTTTATACAAAGCGTTGAGCCTTTCTGAGTAATCATAATTGGCATATTCTCTGTCAATCCTTATACATCACACGCCCTTGTGCAAGCCTAAAGGAGAATGTTCTGTACTTCAAAAAGTATAAAGCTGAGCCATTCCCAGATCATTTCAATATTTAAGTCATTGAGCTTGGAATCTCTACATATATGGGATACAAGAGCTGAGAAGTCCTTTAAGGTATTGAGATTCACATCATTTTACAACTAGAAAAGAACATCGGGCAAGACAAAAATGACAAGTAAGTTTAACTGTTTTCATAGTTGGAGTCTCAATATAATTTTGCCTGATGTTAAGGAAGGATGTTTTATTGTGAGCAAAAGATGCAGTACAGGTTCACTTTAAAGTAAGTCTATGCTCTGCCCATGCAGGGAGAAGCAACAGATTTACTATTAGTACAAGGGGTCTTATTGGAAAAACAGCTGTAAAAAAAAAACCTGCACAGCAAAGTGCTTTACAAATGTGCTCTGTGCACCACTGGCTTCACGTCTGCTTGATCAGCTTCACTGGGGTCAATATGTGACATTAGGGGTCTAATCAGCTATCAACTGCGTATGCAATACATTTAACAAAGAGTTGGGTTATTATATTGTGTTTTGTGTGCAATTACCTCCTCCCAGTCTGGCTCCCACCTCCCTCTTGCTGTACTTACCTTTGGGGAATGCTCCTTCTCCTCTGCTTAACAATTGCAAGCAAAATTCAAAATTCATAGCGCAGGGGAAGTCCCATTAAGGAAGCCGTTTAATGATTCGCCGCCTGGCTTCCTGATTGGCCGGGAAGCCGGCTCCATGCTTCCTCATCACCAGGTGGCGAGGAAGCATGGAGGCGGCCTTCTGGAGGTGGCCTTCCGCCAGACGCCCTAATTGGTCAGCTTCGCCACACAGCTTCCTGATTGGCCGGGAAACCACCTGCATGCTCTCTTGTCACTAAGTGACAAGGCAGCATGGAGCCAGCTTCCCGGGCAATCAGGAAGCCAGAGTCATTACCCGCTGCCCGACTTCCTGATTGGCCGGGAAGTTGGCTCCATGCTCCCTGGTGATGTGGGAGCATGAAGCCGGGCGGTGTGTAAGGCCTCGCTGCCTAGCTTCCCGATACCGGAAGTTCCGGTATCGGAATACGTATCGGGAGTATTTGGGAGAGTCTGAGTACTCGCCCAAATACTTGGTATCATGACAAATACCGATACTGGTATCGGTGCATCCCTACCCAAAGGTAAATATAGCAAATGGGGGGGAAAGGGGGCCAGATTGTAGGGGGTAATTCCACTTTCCCAAATTTCCCCTTCGAAATTTGAATTACCCTTTAAGCATTTTTTAGGCCTAAAATGTGTATTTTAACATTTTACCTAATGTTAACCTGTATTCTATTTTAGGAAGGATGTTTACTTTTAAGAATAAAATGCAGTACAGGTCCACTTTAAATTAAGTCCGCGCTTTTGCCCATGCAGGGAAAAGCAACATATTTACTTTAAAGGTGATGTATTAAATAGTGAAATGTACTCTTCCCAATACCTGGAGCTAGTGTGTGAAACTGCAGCTGTCCAATGCCGGCATGTAACCGCCGATCACTCAGCTCCTGGTCTTCTCTACCTCTTGAGAATAGTAACTGTCAGTCACGGCTCCCCGCTGTCATTCCCCCCTCCCCTCTGTGTTCCCCCAGCGCTCATTGGAGGAACAGGCAGGGGAGAGGGAAGGGCATAGCTGGCTCTGGCTCTAGAAAGCAAAACCAGCTGTCAATCAGGCAGCCAAGTTGATCCCAAAAGTATTGTCGGAATCCTTCCTGGCTATAGCGCACCTCTGTGCTATCAGCATATAACTGGCATTAGCTATATGCTGACTTTGGGTCACAGGAGTACATTATTAAATATAATCCTGTGACCCATAAGAGAAGTAAAATAAAGAAATGGTTTGGCTTCACTTCTCTTTTATAAGCACTATCTTCCTTTCGCTCTTTTCGTTTGGCTGACGGGAGGTAAGAGAGGACGTTCTCACCACCCGCACACAGTGACGTGCTTTAAAAAAAGGACTCTGAAGTTGGCAGAGCACAATAAAAATGAATGAACATTGTTTATAAAGAAAACCCGGGAGAAGAGCCAATCATGGAGCTCTCTCTGCTCCATCATTCAAAAAGAACTCCACGGGGCTTTTCAGGCTACATAAAATGGCCCAATTTATGAATGGGGTGGACCTCAGTATACCTGGTGCAGCGGCGCATAACAAACAACAGATAGCGATGTCTATTTATTTATTATATTTTATTTATTCATATAGCACTAGAAAATTCCCCAGCTCTGGGCAGAGAATACTAACCCATTATTACTGACTGGACTTTGTCTCCAAAAGAGCGTAGTCTAATATTATCTGAACCACAATCACACCTTGTTTAGGGCCAGTTTGTAAAGAAGCCAAAAAATGTATGCTTCAGACCGAGAATCGGAACAATTCCTAGGTCTGTAAGGCCATCCTATTGCAACACTGATGTGACATCTGAAAACGATTTATAGCGACACTTTGAAGCTTCAGAACAAAATTGCAAAATAGTGTGATGTAATGTTGGTGGTGCTTTGTCTATGTATTTATTATAAGATTCTTAGTCATTTTAATTTTGCTCTTAAATATGATTTTCAAGGTGTGTATTGTAGAATGTATTTACAATATAATAACCATGCCCCAACAGAAACAGGCACTCTCGCTATCTTATAGCACAGTGGTGTCCAACCTTAAATGCCAAAGGATCACATCAGTATTCACAAGTTGAGTGGACGGACGCCTCTAAATAGACACCTCTGCTATAGCTCATACAGGTTGTATGAAGCCCCCAAAGCATATAAACAATGTGGAACACCAGGGAGTTAAGAATGTTGAAAGCTTAACTCAAAAACTTGCCCAGGCAAAACGTTTTCTTAAAGCTCATCAGGAACCTTTAAGCTACATGACACTGTTTAATAGGCATATTTTAACAGGCGCTCCTAATCACGCATCCAGGTTTTGATCTTCACACACCAATAATGTTATCACAGGTTTACTTCCTCCAAGGGGTACACCCCCGCTTTTTTTGATTTACTTTAAATCCAATTCTTATTCCTCCTGGTCTAGCACTACCACAAACCTATTAGTTCCCTATTTTTCCTAGCAAATAACCGTGTATGTGATCCTTTACTAGACTATACAATATCTTCCTTACCATAAAAATCAAACTAATATGTCTCTACTTGATCCTTTTTTAAATACCACAAACACCATACCATAAGTACCACACTATCTTTGCTTTAATCAAATGGTAGCAATCCAGTCTTTAAAGAGACTAAAACAATTAGAAACTATGGCTTAGAAATAACTGAGCTTAGCTCTATATGGACAGAGGGGTGTACATCTTTCTTTCCAGTATATTATATTAGTACCAGGGAGTAGGAAACAGTTAGAACCTCTGTCAAGTTTCTATTGCTGTGTGCAGGGGTGGACCTACCGCCGGTGCGTCCGCCCTGGGGCCCAAGGCAGTTGTAGGGGCCCACTGAGGTCTGTCCCGGGGATTTTAGGCAAAGGGGGACCAGCAGCCTCAGCGGTGATCACTCTTCTCGGAAGGAGAGAGCTGAGAAGAGTGATCGCCGCTCTCGATCACTGAAGCCGGCACACAGTAGTGACAGCCGTACACATTCTTCTCCTCCTCTTCGGCTGCAGCCACAGAGCGGCTGAGGGGAGAAGAATCTGTTCAGCTGTCAGTACTGTGTGCCGGCTTCAATGGTCGGTCTGTCGACGGCCACCCGCAGCTTCCTCCTCCCCCTTCAGCTACTATAGGAGGAAGACTGCAGGATCACCATTGGGTGGAGACTTCTGATGAGTGGGACCTGGTTGGGGAGAAGTCTGCTGGTACATGCAGGAACAGGAAACATGGATGCAACCCCCACGCACACACACACACACACACACACACACACACACACACACACACCTGGAAAGAAAGAGGGCAAATCACATCTGTGTGCACTGTAAGTTTTTATTTATTCTGCGTCACATCTGCTGACCTCTGCACTGTGCGTCACACCCTGACCTCTACACTGTGTGTTACACCCTGACCTCTGCACTGTACGTCACACCCTGACCTCTGCACTGTACGTCACACCCTGACCTCTGCACTGTACATCACACCCTGACCTCTGCACTGTGCGTCACACCCTGACCTCTGTACTCTGCCTTACAACTGACCTCTGCAGCTTACAGAGATTCTGCCACTCGCATATCTCCCCCTCCTGAGACCCTCTGCACAAGACATTAGGCCGGCATTCCAGAGCAAAAAGACAGAACAGAGTATGTACCAAATTCCTATACTATTATTCTGCATTGCTTTATAATGTATTGCTGGGATTTTTAGTCCTCTACAGATGATGGCATTATCCATTAGAGTGTAAGCTTCTCTGTACAGAGACTGCTGTGACTTCTCTGTGTTCTGTGTTCTCTGTACAGTACTACGTTATATGTCAGAGCTATATGAATGTAAAATAATAGTATGTGACTATGGGGGGATATTAGAGTGTAAGCTCCTTTAGTGCAGAAGGTCTGCCACTGGCTGTGTGTGTCCCCACTGGGGAGAATTCCCCTCTACCTGTCACCAAGAGAGAAAGTGAAGGTAAATCCTTTAATGAGGAAACCTGTTCCTATTACAAATTTCTAAGATTGAAAATATAACTTTTAACTTGCAAAGACCAGCTTAGCATGACAAAGCATTTCTTGAAATATAATCAATTTGTTCTGAGTGCACACTAAACTTGTACAAACATATAAGGGATTATTTCAACTCAAACCTAAAGGTGAGACCCATGATTTGGCAGAGCTAAGCCAGTACTTCTCTGCATAAGGTATATGTGAGGGGTCAGGTGAAGGATAATCCTGCTTGATATGTAATATAAGAATAAGTATTATATTTATAGGGCATGGGCAGGAAATATACACACTTTATGGGGTACTATAAACTGACACATATCAGGACGATACTTTAAGGTGTGGAAAGCTACCATCATTACCTAATAAAACTTAAGCACAAGTGCCAAAATCAGATAGTTATGGAATATCTAAGTACTGTATAAACCATACATTTTAAATGATTCGTTGTTTTTTTGGATATTGAAAATACGTGGACCCCAAATGTTGAGAATTGTGAGAAGCTTTAAACCTTTCCCCAGTCTTCTACAAAATGTGTTAGTACTGTTTTCTTTTGTTCTTGTTGGGAAAATTTCTACTCAGTTCTTGTACAGGTGATCATTGGAAGTGAGGGAATTTCTTCCAGATGGGCAAACTTTTAATAAAATCTATTTGAAAATACAACCAGGCAACTCTGCCAGGCAGCATGGCAAGGTTAGTCTTGTTCCACCACATTTACCGAACAATGCCTTGATTCACTTACAAGGATTTTCTTAGCAGGCACTTTTCAGGACACATTGCAGTACTATTGCAGTTTCCAAGTAGCACATATATACATAGTTTAAGGCAATTCTTCCACTTTGCCCATTTATTATTATTATTATTATACATGATTTATATAGCACCAGCAGTTTGAGCAGCTCTTTACAATATAAGGAAGACATTACAATACAATTCAAGACAGGATGGTAAGGAGGGGCCTGCCCGTGGAGGCTCACAATCCAAAAGAGAGGGGGAAGTGATACATGAGGAGGTAGCTGTGTGGGGATCCATTTAAATCAAACTAACAAGTCAATGCCCTAAGAAATAGCCTGGTAGGTAAATCACATGACCTTCCCCCCTTTCTTCCAAGATTCAGTTCTCGCTGCCTAAGCAGCCAATTAACTGTCACATAATAGTGCTTAAAACCCGTAGAAGCTCTGAGCCTGAGCTTACACAGGGCTGATTGGGCAAAGTGACAGGTTTACTTTAATTTCCTCTACTAAAAAAATATATTTTATTATGTTTAGACTTGTTTTTAAATTTCTGGGCTTCATTAAATCGCCAAAGCTGAGGAGACACTGCTCCAGATATCAAATAATTTAAAATGACCCCACAAGCTTCCAACACTTGGAGCTTCCATTAGGTCTTTAAATAATATTAAACTATATCTAATATACATAGTTACATAGTATTTGAGGTTGAATAAAGACACAGGTCCATCAAGTTCAACCTTTGTGTGTCTGTGTTTATATGCATGTGTGTGTGTTTATATGAATCCCAGTGTGGTCTAGTTTTTAGGAGTGCCTGTACCCCTGTATGTTATGGTCTCTGAAGAAGGTATCTAAATGCTTTTTGAATGATTCAATACTCTCTGCTGATACCAATGCTTGTGGCAGCGAGTCCCAGATTTTAACCACTCTAACTGAAAAAAAGCCCCTATACCCCTTGTGGTTAAATCTTTTCTCCACCAGTTTTAGGTGGTGGCCTTTAGTCCTTGTTACAGAGTTTAACAATCTGTTTATTGCAGATGTTGCCATCACCACTAAACATTTTGTACATCAAAATCATGTCTCCTCTTAGTCTCCTCACTTCTAGCATGAATCAGTTTAAATTTAGTAGCCTTGTCTCATAGCTTAGGTCCCCTAGCCCCTTAATTAGTTTAGTTGCCCTTCTCTGGACTCTCTCCAGCTCAAGGACATCCTTTCTGTGGATTGGTGATCAAAACGGGACCGCAAACTCCAGATGAGGCCAAACCAGCGATCTATAAAGTGGCAAAATTATAGCTTTGTCTCTACAGTACATTCCCTTTTTAATACAAGACAGTACTCTGCTAGCTTTGTTTGCCGCAGCCTGCTATTATTCAATCTGTGGTCTACTATGACCCCAAAATCTTTTTCCATTTCTGACTACCCTAGTGGAGTACCCATTAATATGTATTCCTCTTGCATGTACAAATGCCAAGATTCAAGCACATGTTCCAAATTCAAGTAGTTGTGCAACATCTAAGTACTGTATAAACAATATATTATCATTGATTAATAATTTGAAAAACAGGTTTTATTGTTTGGATTTTGAAAATACTTGGTCTCCAAATGTTGGGAAATGTGAGAAGATAATGGGTGGCTGAACTGTTAAAGTATAACAACCATATGTTTCTTTTGGGTAGAGTACAGAACGGATATCATTTCTGTCAGGACTTTACTGTTGTCTGTTACTTGGAAGACTCCCACTAACTTGTTGTCCCAGTGACCTTTGACAGGAATAAGAGTCACCTCAGTGGGGATGCAAGCAGCAATGAGAGTTGACACAGCTTCAAACCCTTCCCCAGTCTTCTGGGCAACTCTGTCGGATAGCGTGGCAAGGTCAGGAACCTCATCTTTTTCTATTGCATTTACCAAGCAATGCCTTAAGGGCACTTGAAGGAACTTTCAACATTCAGTATATGCTGATATGCCAGCATTAGTGGGAATGGTAACTAACCACAGCAACTTTAGAAAATTGGTAAATGCCAAATATTTGCCTAACAGAATGAGTATCTTACCATTATAATTAAGCCCAGCAGGATACATTGCAGTACTATTGCTGCTTCCAGACATCACATGTAGACATATTTTTAAGGTAATCCATCCATTTTGCCCATTTAAATCAATCTAACAGGTTCACTTGATAGTTTGCTGATTACATGTAGATACTTAGCTTCCTCTGACTTCCCCTGCAACTACATTTGTCAGCCAGAGCCCTGAGAGATACTAAGCACCCCTAGGTAAGCAAATCATGTGACCATCTCCCCTTTCTTCCAAGATGCATTCTCACTGCATGAACAGCCAGTCAACTGTCACATAAGAATAGACCTTGGGCTGGGGTAAGCTCTGACTCTGGGCTGAATGGACAACATAACATGTTTACATTAATTCTACCTACTAAAAAAAAGTATATTTTAAAATGTGTAGACTTGTTCTGAAATTTCTAGGCACATTGTGCTGCCACAATAGTTGTATAAAAATTACACAATCCATAGTCATAGTCAATATTCACATTGATGTGTGATGAGAATTATATAGTTTATTTTCTTTAAGCCATGTGTTGTGAGCAGCATTGTAGCTAGTTCATGTGCTGACATCTTGTGGTCATTCTGGTTATTGCACATGTTTTTCTGTGTTCCCTCCCAGCTATGATGTATTTCCCCTTGTGTGTAATGTACCGCCCTTCTTCTCCATTAGTCTAGTGTCATGAGTGACAGTAACATGACCACATGTTAATCCACATTGCATGCTTGGAAACATTACTATCTCTGACCTTCAAATACCGTCTATTCATTCATCTGCTGTATTCTGTTGTCTGCTGTAACCCTGCTGCATTCACATAAAGGACCCTCATGGATGAAAAGGTATTTGGTGAGTTCAGCTATCTGATAAGGATTGTCCGCAGTGATTATATCTGCTTATAAAGACCAGGCATAGAGGTCCCAGCAAGGGATAAATCGCTAATACAACACTCAGAGTCAGAATACACATCCTGTTGAGTGTAGCTCACGTTTCCTTTGACTTATTCAAAAAAGAGTGCAAAGAGGAAAGTTTTAAATCCTAAAGGGATGTTCAGATGATCCCAAATGTGCACCAGTATACTCAAAACCTGGTGAACAAACAGCAGCTACAGCTTTCTGGTCATTCTCCTGTCCTGCCTTTTCTATTGGTCACTGAGGCCTCCCATTGCATTTGGATGACAACAGGAAGATAAGGAGGGAAAGGGGAGGCAAAAATGTGCCCAGGAAATTGTGGTAGCTGTTTGTAGTTCTGGGGATACCAGGGTGCAGTGAAGGTCATCTAAAGATAATAAAAATCATAACAGATGTTCTCTTTTTAGCCTTACAGGTTATGAATGTGGACCTCCAGCAAAGCCTCAATGCTACAGCACACAGAACCAATGAGTACATGACTAAAGGGCTTGTTGTGAGGAGAGGTCAGTCATTTACCATCAAAGTGAAGTTTAACAGACCTTTGGAACCTGCAGACAACCTGAAGTGGTGGACTCAGACAGGTAATAATACATCTAGTATTATTCAATACTCTATAAAAACAAGCTATGAATATACAATATGCAAGCAGTTTAAAATAACTTGCTCTAAAGAGCAGGTGTAATTAACTGGCAAACATACTAGAGGTGCACCGAAATGGAAATTTGAAAACCGAGATTAAAAAAATGTCAGGCCAAAACCGATACCGAAAATGTTTTTAATTTTTATTTTTTCAATTTGTTTTAAATATTTTATTTTTTATAAACTTTTTAATTTTTTAATTTTTATTTATTCATTTTTTATTAAATATTTGTCTTTTTTACTTTACTTTTAGGGGCTTCTGGGAAATATTAGGGGTCTAAACAGACCCCTGATATTTCCCTTTTAAAATAGAAAAGGAGATTGAGAACACAAAGTCCTCAATCTCTTTTTCTGTGTCCCCTGTTATCAATGAACAGGAATCCTCTATGAGTGTTCCTGTTCATTGATAACATGAGAACATTGTTAATTTACTGTAACCACAATTATGAATAAATGGGGTTGATGTAGATCACTTCCCATTCATTCATAATTGATGATATAGTTAACATACCATATCCTCAATTATGTTATCTGCCGGACTGTCATAGGTGGCAGAGCGGTGTGGGAGGAGACGCCGGCCGCTAACAGCGCTCTCCAGCGCAGCGCTTGGGCGGCTGTCACTTTCTCTTCTCCCCGCTGGGACACAGAGAAGCGCCCAAAGGGGAGGAAATAAATCAGGGATGCGCCGATGTATCGGCAGGAAAATGGCACTTTCGACATTATGCCAAAAGTGCCATTTTCGGCCGATATGTTTTGGCGCCCGATATATCGGTGCATCCCTAAAACATACTATCCTGAAGAAGAAGGCAGACAAGTAGCCACAGTTTTTTGTTTTTTTTTATTAATTTACATTTTATTCAATTCAAGGCTCTCAAAGCTTTACCATAGTCTGAGGTTTACTTTTCCAGGTGACTATTGACACCGAGACAAAAATAGGGAATCTTACGTTGCAGAGTTGTCATGAAAGCAAAGTTAAATGCAAATCTTTCTGGTGACAACTCTTTAAGATAGGAATTCCCCTCATTTTAAGGGAGATTTCTTTTTACTACATGTTGCAGCTCCAAGACAAGAAATAAAGGGAAATCTCCCCAGCAGGACACAGACAGCATAAAAGAACCTGATATGTTTTTTTTACTTTTTTCTACTCTATCCAAAACAGAAAAAAAAAAATGTTTGACTCTACATACACTGTAATAGGTAGTATAGACATCTCTAAGAGGCTGTTTTTGAGCACTGCAACCACAATTAGATTCCCTGCTTTTTGTAATTTTGGTATGTTTGTGCTACCATTAAAGGGATATCTGGGTGTGGTCTGGGACTGAGCTCATGCAACCCATAAAAACCCTAAAGCTTTACCATATCCCGGAAATTAAAAATGATCTATCAATTTTATATACAAAAGAGCAAAGTACAACCATAGTATGGTGAGGTGGGCTTAAAGAAAAATCACTATACTCATACTGAAAAATGCAGACAAGTCCCTAAACCTGCAGCAGCTTTCAGTATCCTCTGCTTTGCCAAATGCTGCTCGTGCTGATCAAGATCAAAGTTTCAGCACATCCTCACAGTGCTGGATCCTGGCCAGCCCATCATAGTGGTGGACCAGTAGAAAGGTGTGGGGGCATCCCACCATTTGGGCAAACCAGAGAATACTGAAAATTGTTACAGGTAAGTGCAGGCACCACTGGATGCCTATACTTCATACCTGTCATCAGCTTTCAGTATTCTGAAAGTGACAGTCTCTTTAAAGGAAGCAAAAAGCTTTCCATTGCACCAGTGCAAAACAAAGAAGCATTTTTTTAAACCGAGGGCATCTGCATGTCTCACCTCTTTCACAAATTCAACCAATAAGGAGTTTATTCTTCATTTCATAAAATAGTGGGCAGACCCTTGAAAATCACTCCATTTTGCTCCTAGAGCATCTATAATATTCTTGTTATTTCCCTTGCCTTAATGTTTTGCACCAATTTTAACGGTGTAGTTTATTGCAGAATATTAAGAGAAGTGTACATAAACCTTAGAACCGAGCTAACTGAATTGCTATTTTCTTGTAATTATTACATATTGTTTACAGGCCGATCTCAATCGAGCTCAAAAATAATATTACCCATCCCCAGCTCTGGCAATGAAAAATCTTGGAGTGTAACCTCCAAAAACAACAGTGACATGGAAATCACTATCAACTCACCAGCTGATGCAGCTATTGGAAGTTACCTTATGGGTTTTCAGGTCAAGAGTGCAGAAAGCGATGTATTCCAAAACGTTGGAGGATTTATCATGCTCTTTAACCCCTGGTTTGCAGGTACTGTATGCAAAATGCATACATCTAGTTATTATCTCTCTCTCTCTCTCCCTCCTGCCATGTATAATGACTCCCCTAGGGTCTGTATTGGGCTGTACTGGGCTTTATAGATGGTACTCCTAAATTACTCGTATAAATTGTACTCGTACCTGTACTATGTCCAGTTGGCCTGTCCCGCTCTGTGTCTCCAGACGTCAGCTGTCAGTTTGATTGCAAGTATAAAAAAGGTTGAGACTTGTTTCTTTTGTCTACTACTGGCTATACACTATAGGGTTACAGACACCCATACTTAGCTCCAGGGCCGGCCTTAGGGGTGTGCGAGCAGTGCGGCCGCACAGGGCGCCATGGCAACAAGGGCGCCGTGCGGCCGACACAGCTCGTCCTGGGGGCGGCTTCTCTCCCCCTCACCGCATTGGGTATGGTAATTTTTTGCGATTTTGCGGGTGAGTGCAATTTTAAAGCATGACATGTTTGGTGTCTATTTACCCGACGTGACCCCGTCTTTTTATATTTTAGCAAAAATATGGGTGATAAATGGGTGCGGTTACTGGGGGTGTGGCCACTAAAGGGTGTGGTCACTGAGGGGCGCTGTAAAGCTTTCTCGCACAGGGCGCCTAAAGGCCTAAGGCCGGCCCTGCTTAGCTCACCAGAGGACTAACCTCAACTAAATAGAACTATTATCTCTCTACCCGCCCTCAACCTCATGCCCTTAACGTATTCACATCCAAGGCTCATTATCCTCCACTAGACCTCTTCATATTTTTATCATATCTCTACTCTAGACCTTCAACTTCCCTCATTTGATATAGCAATTCCTTGACAACTCATGAGAACATAACTCAAATCACTTCCACATTCATGATCTGGTTTATTGTGAATTGTAATTCACAATAAACCAGATCATAAATGTGAATAACAAAAATCCTGAGTAGAGTTTTGAACTACATTCATTGTTCGGAGTCAAGTTGGAGCTCAGACATGCTTCCTTTGTTAGTAGGCATGTTGTTGGTGTTGGATGTAGCCACTCTCCGATTGTTTTTGTAATGTGGATGCTTGGTATCGTAGAGGAGTGGACACTCCTCCACATACTTAATTAAAACATCAGCATCTACCTTACACATTGCTGCAATGTTCCCTTCTTTGCAAATCTCATCTGCCCATAAAGAGGATGCCCCAGGATGATGAGATCATTAATTCTGCTTCATTTTTTTTTGTGTTCTGTTGCGTATCGATGCACTTGAAATGAGTATTTTTTCAGACTGCAACTGAACTGACTGCACTGGTGTGAACAAGCCCTCGGAAAAGCTTGCTCATGCCTGAACTCACTGCTAAACGATGTCACGGGGAGATAATGGAGCCACACTTGAACCTCTACTAATCTGGGATGTCACTAAGGTTGATCCAGTAGGTGAAGAGATATCACTGGGAAGAATGAAGTAACACTTGAACCTCTACTAGTCTAGGTAGTCACTACCTGGTACAGAGAAACACAGGGACCTCTATTGTATTTGATGCTTCTTCTGACTGCTGTGTACAACAGAAGTCTGAGCTTCATCCTGGAACTGTCAGCTAAAAGACATCCATGAACTGGACTGTTATTGCAAAAGATGCAGCAGGGTGAGTACTATGCCTGGGGACAGGGTAAATCTCAACTGGGGGTATCACTTGCACTACACAAGACTCAGCTGAGTGGAGGCACTGGCAGATGCTCAGCCTTCAGTTTTCCATACAGGTGCATTATGTTTTAGAAGCCTGGATAGAGAAGCATCTAAAATTAACAACTGTTAGAGAGGCAAATAATGCTTAGTGGAATTCTCCTTTTAATAAAGTCATAAATAATATTTTGGATCCCATGAGACCTGAAACAATCAACTAGAGGTCCTGCCCTACCACTGAGTACATTGTCACTGAATTGTAATAATGTCCTAAATATTACTTTCCTCAAATCCACTAGGTGACACAGTGTACATGAAAGATGAAGCTGAGAGGAAGGAGTATGTTCTCAATGAGAGTGGAATCATTTTCTATGGAAGCGCAACCAGTAACCCACCATACAGACCCTGGGACTTTGGCCAGGTAATTTTCTAGGACCCAATCTCTGAAAAAATGGTACTTGACAGCTGCTAAAGCAGTTTACAAGAATATGTGAAACAAATAAGGCAGCATTCCAAAACTGAGCTTGATTTGGGACAGCTGAACTAGGATTGGGCCATATAGGCTTGCCTTGGTGGGAATATGTTCGGTCTAGGGATGTCCCGATACCGATACCAGGCATTTTCTTGAGTACTAGTACTTGTGGAAATGCCCCGATTCTTAAGGCCGATGCTGGTCCTTTACATTTTTGTCGGGACCTCGGCAGTCTGATGGGGTCCTGGCAGTAGCTGTCCCTGGCAGTACCTGCCCGTTTCTATACCACCTGCTCCTTCTTTCTGGCACAGGCACAGCCATGGACAGCCCCACACATAGCACAGTACAGCCCCGGATACCGACACCCGTCCGATCAACTGAGAGCCCTGCAGAGATCCACATGCCGCCCAGTTGAGACTGCAGCCTTCTGCTCTGGTGTGATCTATTGTGCTCTGCGAACATCTGTATTGTGCTCTGCGGACATCTGTATTCTGCTTTGGGGACATCTGTATTTAGCCCGGGTGAGAAACTGCCCTAAAACCATTAGACTGTGGTGTTTTGAGAAAAAATGCCACGTGGCCCTTTAGGAAAAAGTATCGGTAATTGGTATCGGCAAGTAACTGAGGGCAAGTACTTGTACTTGGTCTTTAAAAAAATGGTATCGGGACATCCCTAATTCGGTCCATTCAAAAGTGGTTCTTATTTTTCACAGACGTTTTCCAGCTTGTTTGTAATCCTCTGTGTAACTGCTAATAATTCCTTTTTATGGATGATTTTACCATATGTAGATTCATATGGTGCTCATATGGTGACAATAAAGCAAGACATCCCATTCCCTCAGTCTGAGTAAGGCAAACAGCAATTTCTACAAAAAAGGGAAGGGCATCTGTAATAAAGTCTGCTAAAAATCCTTGCCATTCCATATTTTACCTGGAGAAGGTTACTTTTTTTTACAACAAAGCTGAATAACACTTTAAAAGAAAAATATACTGAAATAAATATGAAGGATGTTGCTGAAATCCTCCCAAAATGCTCTGGATTTAGTAATCTGAAAAAAGCTAATACAATTTGAAGCCAGAACACAATGGGCTGATTTACTAAAGAACTCAAGAATCTTCACACTATAAATTGTATGAATATTCATTTCAATTATCCAATTATGTATAGATGGAATAGGTAAACAGGATCTATTGACTGACCCTAAGGGCCGGTTCACACCACAAAGACTGCGTTCCAGAGCGTTCGGCCTGTGGAACGCACTGAAACGCAAGCCGGCCAGCTCCGTGCGGGAGGGGGTGTGGTGGTGCATTGAAGTCAATGGCACCGCAGCCACACCCCGCAGTGCGATCGCCCTCACCCGAATACGTGCCATATTAGTGCTTGCGTTCCGGTCCAGTGCGATCTGCAAAAATTGTGCAATTTGTGCAGATCGCACTGGAATGTGCCACGCGTTTGCGTGCGAGCGATCGCATGGGGAGCAGGGACGTGGCAGCGTTGCCATTGACTTCAATGCACCACCACGCCCCCTCCTGCCCCTGAATGCAGGGAGCTGGCCGGCTTGCATTCCAGTGCGTTCCAGAGGCCAAACGCTCTGGAACGCAGTCTTTGTAGTGTCAACTGGCCATAAATCATCTTCCATTACCTAATGGTTTAGGGCCAGTCTTGATGGGCTTTGGGCTGCAAATGCAGTGTGCTTTTGATATCAGTTAGAGACACTTCTGAGATAAATCATAATTAATTGCAGGTTCAGTTGACCTGCTTTAAGTTGCTTTAGCATTTTTATAGAATATGTGGAGAGAGAATAGTGTATGGGGAGAGAAGCAGTTCTGATGCGACCAAAAGCCACCAAGTCTTCCCTTTAGTCTTTCTTACTGACAGCCACACCTATGCATTGGGTCCTCAAACTTCCATAGGGGCAATTTTCCACTGCTGTCCACACAGCCAAGAGCACAAATACTACATGACTGTGCCATCTGTGGACCAACATTCTAGTTGAGCAAGTAAATGATGACCCTGGTAGATGCCTGAAATAAGATGTCACCAGCCGATCAGAAAGGAAGTAAGAAAGTATTATGAATTGGCGTAATGTGAGCTCTTGGAGAGGTCATTGATAACGGTGTTACAATTATATAATGCTTAGCATGTATGCATTAAACATGAAAAATATCTCTGAGGTTAAGTTTGCCTTTAATCTTAAAAGGTAGAAAATTGGAAAATAAATTAGCCAATGCATAGTCAGTGAACATGTGTGAAATGTAAAAATGATCTACATCAATTTTTCTTTCTTTCTGTTTGAAAAAAGTTATTTAATTTGTGTTTGTAGTTTGAAGAAGGCATTTTGGACATCTGCTTAAAAATGCTGGACAGAAGTATTGAGTACAGAAGAAGTGCTGCTAGAGATGTCTCTCGCAGAGGTGACCCTGTCTATGTTTCAAGAATATTAAGTGCTATGGTAAGTACACCTATGACATATTGAAGGGCATAACTATAGCCATAGGAGACTGTACAACAACCAGGAGACCCGCAGAAAGAAAGACCCAATTCTCCAACCATTGATAAAATAAAAAACAGCTCTTGCTGCAATGCTCACCCTATCTCCAGTGATGTCTCCTGCAGAATCACTGTTCTGCAAGCCAGCAGCAGTCTTGACCTGCATTAGACATGAGGGCGCCGAGACATGAGGGAAAAACAGCCAGAACAGAAGGGGAGAGAGGTGAGCGCTGACTGCCGCAGGACCAAAGGTCAGGTGAGTATATATTTTTTTATTCCGGCCAAATGACCAATATTAGCAGTTAAGCCTTGCAGTACGGGGGTAGCCTCACTGTAAAGGTTAGTTTTTAAACATTAGAATATTTATTAAACAATTAAAGTAATTCAGAAAATGGTACAATGGAACAAAACGCAGGAGCAACAAGAACACTCAGTGGCACAAATTCCAAACATGTAACCCCAGACATAACAAGGATGATTAAAAAGAAAATAGAGATCCTGAGTGACAACTCCATAAACAGATATGCAGTCGAGGGTCAGGCTAAGGTAGTCAATAAAACGAGGGCTGAAACGAATGATTATTTTCATAATCGATTCGTTGGTCGATTATTTTTTTCGATTAATCGGATAAAAACGCTTACATAAATACCATCCTTCATTTAAAATAAAATACACAATGGCAGTGTAACAAGCATAAAGTTTACTTCAGAATAAAACTGCATGCACAATTTTTTGCAATCGCACTGCACTGGAATGCACAGCATTACGGGTGATCCAGTGCGGGCGGGGCGCGTTTGGGTTGCCATTGAAATGAACGGCACTGCAATGCATCTCCCGCAGCAGAATTTGTAAGGCCTAAACCAAAAATGACTTTTTTCCCCACCTTTTAGAAAAATGTGTTTTAAATAATTGCATTGTAAGCACATGGCATTTGAATAGCTTTATCCAGGGAATGACAGCTGCCAGTGGCAAGATTCTGCAGACGGTAGCTGAATGTAAATACAGCGGGTAGTGGGCTGGTGCAATAGCCAGCCTGCTATTGGTCATTTCAAATTACAATAGCCAAAACAGGCTGACTATTGTACCCACCCACTGCTTGCTGTGCCCTCCACCCAGTGTGGAGGAGAGAGCTAGGGGATCCATCCAACTAATCGATAATGAGAATAGTTGACAACTATTCTCATAACCGATTATTATCAATTGATTCATCCGTTAGTTGCAGCCCTTAATAAAAACCCCCACTTGTATTCCTTGCACTACCTCATAGCAGGTGCACCATAGACTAGTTCATGGAAACACTAGACCACCCTCCGGCAAACCAAAACCGCATGTTGAAAAATCGAAAAGAAAGGACCTCCATGGGGGAGTACACAAAAGTAAGCCACAGAAGTTGAAGAAATAAAAAAGTAGAAGGAAATAAGAAGAGACAAAGAAAGAGAACACTAAGACTGCAAACGCAAAAAGAGAAAAATACCTGAGAGGTCTCTGAGGCTTTCCCACCCTCAAAGTTAGCCAATGTAGAATAAGAAAAAAATCCTTAGAACCTCTTCATGAAAAGAGTTGGAGAAATCCTTAACTATCCTGAAAGAAAATTCAGGTGGACCAAATAGCAGAGAACTGTGCTTTTCTATCATACATTTGAGCAGTCAATTCCTCCATATGCATCAAGCAATTAACTTCTGTGACCCATTCCTACAGGGAAGGAACAGATTGTGATTTCCAATGTCATGGGTTGACTGTCCTAGCATGCAGTAGTGTAACAAGCCCTTCTTAACATTGGGAAGGGAAACCGGGATCAGGAAGAGTAAATCTGATTGCAGAGTGCGAGAAGGAGATGAAGACGTCACTGCATCATAAGTATCAAACACCATGTTCCAGCAAAGTGGGTAATCCCACCAAATATGCGTCATTGTCCCAACGCACGACCCGCAATGCCAACAGACATCTGGGCAGCTAGAAAAAATCCAATGGAGGTCATAGGGACAGCTTTACCATCGGAATAATATCTTGAAATTCCTCTCCTGTGCAAAACTAGTGCAAGGGTTATATTTTATAAAAACATGGACTTATTCGTGTATATATATCATGCAATCCTTAGTGGGTCTTGTTCACATTGAATTGTACAGTAGGAATCTGTGTATATTAGTCGCCAATACAATCATCTGCCGGGGTTCTAATGTCTATTTGCAGCAAAAACTGCAATTACATCAAAAGCTCCTGCACAGGCATGGTAGAGCTTACACCCATTAATCAGCAACTGTTGGCAGACTAGGATTGGCCTGCAGGGAAATGCAGTATTTGTGTATTCAACACCATAGAGAGGTGTAGAAGGTAAATGACAGTGAAGAAGGGAAGCAGTTGTTGACAGGGGCAACAGAGAAAGAGTGCACAGGTAAAATGCATTTAAGGGAGCTGTTTTCCTTTTAATAGATTTGTATTTTGTCCATCCCATTCTGACACTTACATCACTCTGCTACATTCCTGTCTGACAGGGCAAAAGACCCGATTTTTTTTTCTCTGTTAGCTTAAAAACTTTGACTTTAATATAATTTTAATGACATTTCAAAAGCTGCTTAAATCACTTACAATGGATGCTGCTTCACATTTAAAAGTTTTAGTTTCCTGCAGAATCTGCCGGTCCCGTGAGTACTGGTCCTGACTTCATCTGTTAGGGTGGCTGCTTAAAGAACACTTGTCATCACGAAAGTGCCATTACATAGGAGGCTTGGTAGGCATGGGATATCCAACTGGTAGGCACAGGATATCCTTGTGACATTCGTGGTGGGCAGCTGCTATCAGCCAGGAAGTGCCAGAATGTTGCTAAGCTGGTGCTGGTTTCGGCATGCAGGGGGCTTGCATGGTTTGTTACTATGTAGAAAGTTATCTTGGGTATTGTAAAAGTAAGATTGCATTTCCTAAAGTTGCACTGTGAGATTTTGACTTACCTGTAAATTCTAAAGCGGAGTTTGCCTTTGGTTTAAATTGTCCCCTAGCTGGGTGAAGTTCTTGAAGGATCATTCAGGCAACAGGATATGCATGTAACATTCTTGTTTTAGGTCAACAGTCAAGGTGACAATGGAGCCGTTGTTGGAAATTGGACTGGGGATTATGAAGGAGGAGAGAAACCCACAAAATGGAATGGAAGCGTTGACATACTCCGTAAATGGAATGAAGGTGGACCTGTCCGATATGGACAGTGTTGGGTGTATGGAGGAGTCCTTTGTACAGGTTTGTTCCCTTTCACCACAAGCCCTGCAACAAGAAAACTGCATATTACTAGTAATTAGGATACATCTCTAAACATTTAATCGTTTGTGCCTGTAAGCAAATCTGGCATTTGAGCAGAATACAAAACTGATGTTGTTTGGACTTGCCCATAATTATTTCAGAAACCATGCTTGATGGGATGTATTGATAGGATGCAGTGCAATTAAATTAAGTTACACACCACAATTAGCTGTTCCTCTTAATTTTGCCGTGACTTTACCTTAAATGAACTTTAAGGCTGAACTCCAGGCACAAAAACTTTAATTTCAAACATATTCCCTAAAAGCCACAAAGGATATGAATTCACTTTGTGTGCACCAAATGCCTCTGCAATCCCCATTATTACCTTGTATAAGTATTGGTGATATCATCACTGGGCTGCATATACAGTAACATGTACAGAAAGCAGAGCTGTGCGAGGGACACAGAAGGCCCCACCCACTACAGGCTGCCTTCAGGAAACTACAGGAGGGGGCGGATACAAGGCCAATCACCCTGCACAAGGAGAGACAGCAGCAGTGACCGGTCTTTCTCTATTTTCTCATTTTATCCAATTAGTGCTCCGATGCCTAGGAATCCCTGCACGTGTCATCACAAATTTCGCTTCTGCTCATGACACTGATGGAACTCTCACTATTGATCGGTACATTGATGAGAAAGGCACGGAAGTATTTGACACAGCTGACAGTGTATGGTAAGATGGGCTCTGTACAGGCAGATCTACGTGCATAGTGTGTACTCTCCTCTGGATACATAACTAACCAGCAGAACGCGTTAGAAGTTACAATGTTAAATAATGTTACATGATGTGATGAGAACGGCAGTATACAAATTTCCAACATAAAATGTTTAGTGTATGTTGATTTTACAGCAATTCGTCTAATTCTTGTAGTAAAACCCAGTAGTAGTATTAATGTACTTTACTAGACAAGAATGCTGCATGTACAAACTACTTACTGTTACAGGAAAACAACACAGGACATACGGACTGCTGCAAATATGCACACATACACACACATGCACACGCTATCTATCCCTTCCTAGCACATGCAATAATCTATATGCAATAGGATACACTAATAGTCACTTATCATCCGTTATTGCTGGTCCACAATTTCCTTACTCAGGCCCCGTTCACATTGAGCGATTTATCGCGCGATTTTTTTCCATGTCGCTCAGTGTGAATGGGGTCTTAACAGGAATTCTAAGGTAAACGGCTTGTTAGCCGTTACGCCTACTGTTTTTTTTTATTTATTTAAGTTTTATTAATTTAAACAAATAACAGAACATAAATCATAAAAAGATATTCAAAGATTATTGAAAAATATTGAGGATTAGAACAAAAAGGAAAGAGGTCAATTAACCAGCCCTTCCGCCTACTGTACTATATCAACTTCTATGAATGGTGCATTTCTTCCTACATACTGTAGATGGCAGCACAGTACCATGAATGCCATGTAAGGTCAGCAATGTCAAAAGGTCAGGGTATTGTTGACAAGCTTCGGTCCAGTGTTCACACCAGTGCTCCTCTAATACAGTTAAAGACAACTAAATGTGAGCTTTGTTGACCAATAGTTTACCCTGGCCATATATACCACAGTAGTATATATTTTCCCATTGTATTTAGAGGGCAGCAGAAACTAGTTTTGTGTAAACACGGTATTACTTAACAATGGCAAGTTCATAACTCCATCTTGGATACCCTCGCAGGGGTTGTTCAACATAACATTCGTGCAAGGCTTCAAAACAGCACAATAATAGCCTCCTGGCTTCCACTTTAAACATTGGCACTTCTGACCCACTGGTCCTCTTTGAAGTGATGTCCCACACTTGTACTGGTGGCCCCTCAGGCTCACGGCTCTCCTAGCCTCACCAGTTCTCTCCCAGCCTCCCTGGCTGTCTTAGTGTGCCTCCAGCACACTCACCACCTGACTCCACTTTAGATTCTGGGGAAGTCCTCCTGACTCCTGAACACTGTCCGTTCCTATCCCAGTAGGAGTCTGGGGGCGTTCACCTGACACCTGAACACGGTCTGTTCCTCTTTCCCAGCAGCAGCTAATTCCCCTAGCCAGCATCATTTCCTTAATGGCTGTGCACACCTGGGCAATTACCGAGTGCTGGCCACTGCTAAAGCCTGGATCTAGGCCTGGGGATCTCATCTTCCCTCCTGCATCACCATGAAACATCTCAGTTCCAGGATCCCAAATGTAATCCCCACAAACCCTTGCTTTCTGAAACGTCTCAGCCCATCTGGCTGAGAGTCCCAGGTGATCATAACACCCAATTCTACAGTGGGATTGCCACACAATACCACAATATATATAATATGTGTGTGTATGTACAGAATAATTATGCATTATTGAGGGAATTCCTCAAAGTGGACCTTTAAACTTCCCACCTATGTTCTTTCATTCCATTCCTAGCACCTTCTTTCTAACATTCTAACAAATGGATATTTAATATTACTTCTTGTTTGGATGACCCTCCCTACACTTCACCTAGGTGAGAATGATGTATGCATTCACCGCCTTCTGGCATACCCACGTCACGCATCCAAGGAGGCCTCTGTACTGTACGGTACATAATCATGGAGGGGGTGGCTCTTTCTTCCAGGTTCAGGCAGTTGGCCTCCTGATGTGCCACATGCTGCATGCTCATCATCAGGGGACTGACTGCGAGAACCCAGAAGAGCTTGGGCATGTGAGTGTTTTTTCTACATGACCCAGCACACTCACCACCTGACTCCACTTTAGATTCTGGGGAAGTCCTCCTGACTCCTGAACACCGTCCGTTCCTATCCCAGTAGGAGCTCGCCTGACTGCTCTCTGACTTCTGGGGGCGTTCACCTGACACCTGAACACGGTCTGTTCCTCTTTCCCAGCAGGAGCTAATTCCCCTAGCCAGCATCCTTTCCTTAATGGCTGTGCACACCTGGGCAATTACCGAGTGCTGGCCACTGCTAAAGCCTGGATCCAGGCCTAGGGATCTCATCTCCCCTCCTGCATCACCATGAAACATCCCAGTTCCAGGATCCCAAACGTAATCCCCACAAACCCTTGCTTCCTGAAACGTCTCAGCCCATCTGGCTGAGAGTCCCAGGTGATCATAACACCCAATTCTACAGTGGGATTGCCACACAATACCACAATATATATATATATATATAT